GGTCATTTGAGTGAATATTGCTTTGACCGTGTTAGTGCACCACATGCGCCCAAACGGGTTCATAACCCTAGGGCTTTGAGCTTAGAAGATAGGGATCATGTCCCTAAATCTTTTGGTACCACAAATACTTGGGTACCAAAACAAATTTGATTTTTAAACCAAGAATTTTAATGTTTTAATTTTTCTTTTTCTTGGTTTTAAAAAACGTGTTCTAAATTTTTTTATATGAAAACAATTTTTTTTTGATCAAATATTTTGTTTTCATGATTATTAGTTTCGATTTTGATGAGAGATTTGTAGTTATATACCCTCCGGGTTTATTGGGCGTTGTAGGCATATAAAATTGCTTATAGGTCCCTTAGCACAGCTCGGCACAAACCGACGAACCAACGAGGCGACGAGATCGACGAATCGCACGCAAGCGACGGAATGCATCCATACGCGTTCGGGATCAAGCCAAGTGTTAAAGAATCAACGAGTCATCCAACCGGGAACAGACTCGGACGAATCACGATCGAATCAAGATCAGTTTCGGACTCGAACTCAGAAGTGGATTTACTGCCAAATCAGGAATCAGACTTACTGCCAAATCAGATCAACAAATCAGAGTGTCAATCAACCAAATCACAGACAAAACCGGAAAACGGACACAACACCCAGAGGGGCTCAGATTCTACTAGATTAATAGTAATTGTGATGGTGAAACATGTTATTGCACGGTGTAGTGCATGGCAGGTTTGACATTTTTGGTTTCACCTTGGACTGTAGCCTTGTTAAAACCCGAAACCACGCCTAAGGGGGCTCGGCCAAAGCCGAGCCACCTATGGGTGGCTCGGCCCAGTGCTGGCCACCCATAGGTGGCCGATCCAGATCTGTGCGCGGGCACAGTTCAGAGAGCCTATAAATAGGCTAGGCATTGCTCATTTTCAAAGGTTGGAATTTCAAGAGCCAAAACTCTGCCGGATTGAAGAGCGGACTCGGAGCTTTGAAGACTTGCACATTCGGATCTGATCCTCGGCGAGCATCCACGTCAGAAAAGGCAGGATTTTGAGAGGAAGAAAGAACAGATCTGAGATCTACACGAGATCACACTCCAGATCTAAGCTTGGTCTTAGATCTCGAGATCCGAGCGAATATTCCCTTGGTGGACTAATCCCTCCCGGCTATTATTCCCTTCGTGGAATAATACCCGTATAATCGTGTAGATCCGACCGGATCTAGATCGCGCGGTGGTCCACGGATTAACCCCGGCGTTGGCAAAAAACCCACACAAGCGAGCGACCACAAAACAGGAGCTCGCGATTTGTTCACAAAAGGAAAGTTGTAATTTTTCTTATTTTTCTTTGATTTAATTGTAACTGGATCTAAAAAAGACCGGATCTTTTGTAACCCAAGATGACGATTATTTCAATGAAAAAGACAACAGTTTTCCCCGCGAACAAGAGTAAGAGGCTTGGCTCCGCCTAGTGGAGAGATACCAGAAGATGAGGGCACCGGAGTTTCAGGGATTGTCAGATTCTCTTGCGGCACATAAATGGAAGGAAGATGTGGGTAACATCCTTGAGATACTTAATGTGACTTCAGTTCAGAAGTAGAGGCTGACATCTTTCAGTCTCAAAGGGGATGCAGAAAGATGCTATCGGCTTCAGTTCACTCTAGAGCAGAGGACGACCTTTACCTAGGAGGATTTCGTCTACTTCTTCGATGAGCAGTATATCTCTTCCACGGCACGGGCCGAGAAAGAGCTTGAGTTATCCTGATTAACTCAAGGAGACATATCAGTAGCAGACTTCGAGAGCGGATTTATGAGTCTACATCATTTTACGGGCATGTGGCAGACTAGAGAACGCCAGGCACATATGTTTCTAGCAGGACTTTGCCCTAGCCTTCGTCGATACCTCGTTTGTAGGAGGTTCTACTCAGTTCGAGAAGTAGCTAATGCTGCAACTTCACAGGAGAATGAGTCAGCTATGTTCCAGAAGGATAAGGAAGGAAATACTAAGGATAAAGGAAAGAATAAAAGGCTATTTTTAGGACCCCAGCAGCAACAGCAGCAGCAGCAAAGCCCTTATAGGAGAGGACCTCAGTACAATCAGAGAGCACCTCAGTAGTGCAAGTTTCAGGGCACATATTATAATTGTCATAAGATTAGGCACAAAGCATCAGAATGCCGCAGTGCACCAGCAGGAGCAGAGCAAGGGAAAGGGCAGAATCAGCAACAGAATCGATTTTAGGGCCGAGGTCAGGGTCAGCAGATGAGACTGGAGGCACCGCTAGTGGTATCGCAGATTGAGGGGCAGGTTCGTGCAGTTCAGGAGGTCCCTCAGGGATAGGTAGTTCAATATGCTCCACCTCCAAACGCGGAGTAGGTCTGCCACCGGGTAGAGTTATTCCAGTGCCTCTCATGATCATGGGAGCGAATCGGAGCCTTAGTGGAGGGTACGTTCTTTCGTAACTCCTTATCCAGTCGCGTATGTCTTTTCGATTGGGAGCGTTCACACTCTTCTATTTTGCTTTTATGATTAGGCTTCAGCTCATAGCTCAGCCTCTAGATATTCTTTTGTTAGTTTTCGCCCCGCTAGGTGAGATGTCACTCTTGGAGAGCATATGTAGGAGGTGTGTTATCAGTTTAGATGAGTCTGAGTTTGTTGTCGATCTGATAGTATTGAACATATCAGAGTTTGATGTTATTCTTGGTGTAGATTGGCTATCTTCCTACCACGTCAGTATCGATTGTTTTGTGAAAACAGTCAAGTTGCGAGCATCTGATGGGTCCGAGTTAGTTGTGGCCACCTCTCAGGGGAACCAGTTTGCGGAGTCATTACTGGCGTACATCAAGGAGGTGATGCTTTGGGATCAGAGTGTAGATATATGTGAGAATAAACTTGTCTTAGATTTTCAGAATGTCTTTCAGGACATACCTGGGTTGTCTCCTGTGAGAGAGGTTGAGTTTTGTATTGAGTTGTAGCTGGGCACAGCCCCGATATCCCGAGCATCCTATTGCATGGCACCTGCTGAGATGAGGGAGCTATAGACCCAGTTAGATGAGTTGTTAGCTCAAGACTTTATTTGTCGGAGTCATTCTCTATGGGGAGCGCCGGTCCTCTTCGTAAAGAAGAAGGATGGTAGTATGCGATTATGTATCGACTACCGTGAGTTGAACAAAGTCACTATCCAGAATAGATATCCTTTGCCTCGGCTTGATGACTTATTCAATCAGCTGCAGGGAGGGTAGTATTTCTTGAAGATTGATCTTCGTTTTGGTTATCATCAGTTACGGGTTCGGGAGATAGATATTCCCAATACCGTCTTTCTGACTCGATATGGGTCCTTCAAGTTTTTGGTCATGCCATTTGGATTGACCAATGCATCCACGGTATTCATGGATTTGATGAACCGGGTCTTCCGTCCTTACTTGGACCAGTTCATGATTGTATTTATCGATGATATTCTTATCTATTTGAGATCGGAGTTGGAGCACGAGCAGCATCTACGTTTGATTTTGTAGACCTTGCGAGAGCATCAGATTATGCTAAGTTTAGCAAGTGTAAGTTTTGGATTTCTGAGGTCAGATTTCTTGGTCATGTTGTCAGCAGAGAGGGCATAGCAGTAGACCCAGCTAAGGTTTCAGTAGTGCTTCATTGGGAACAGCCAAAGACGGTTATCGAGATTCGTAGCTTTTTAGGGTTAGCTTGCTATTACAGGAAGTTCATTCAGGACTTCTCGAAGATTATAATGCCACTTACACGCCTTACGAAGAAGGGTGTATAATTTACTTAGAGCATGGAGTGCTAGAAGGCCTTTGATACCTTGAAGGCTAAGTTGACTACAACACCAATTCTTACTATTCCGAGCAGTGATAGAATATTTTTTGTATACACGGATGCGTCATTAGTAGGTTTGGGAGGTGTTCTGATGCAGACTCAGAGGGTAGTAGCATATATCTCATGGCAGTTAAGGGTGCATGAGCAGAACTACCCTACTCATGATTTGGAGTTAGCAGCGGTAGTATTCACGCTGAAGGTGTGGAGACACTACTTGTATGGAGTTCAGTTCGAGCTATTCACAGACCACCAGAGTCTGAAGTACCTTTTCTCCCAAAAGGAACTTAATCAAAGACAGCGGTGATGGATTAAGTTCATTAAGAACTACGAGTTCATGATTTAGTATCATCCGGGGAAGGCAAACGTCGTAGCAGATGCTTCTAGTAGGAAGCGTTGACATCAGGTTGCGGCTTTGAGGTGCTCGTTGTATCGAGATCTCATCACCCTTAGTCAGTTCGATTTTAGGCCAGAGATGGGCGGAAACAGCACATACTTAGGAGCTTTATTAGTGCAGCCATCTTGGAGGGATAGAGTAGTCAGAGCTCAGTTAGAGGACTCTTGGATTCAAATCCGGAAGGAGGATATCTCCAAAGAGCCCAAGGATGATTGGACCATTGGAGTAGATGGAGGCTTTCGGATGAAGGGTCGATTAGTCATGCTAGCTAGTGTGGAGCTGAAGAGGGAGTTGTTTGATGAAGCACATCATACCCGATATAAAGTGCATCCAGGAACCACTAAGATGTACAAGGACTTGAGGAGACACTTTTAGTGGAGTGGTATGTGTAGAGATATTGCAGATTATGTAGCTAAGTGTTTTACCTGTCAGCAGGTGAAGGCAGAGCACCAAAGACCAGCAGGGACACTTCAGCCTTTACCCATTCCAGGGTGGAAGTGGGCGGACATTTTCATGGACTTCATTGTAGGGTTGTCGAAGTCGAAAAAGGAAAACGACTCAGTTTGGGTAATAGTGGATCAGTTGATGAAGTTGGCACATTTTATTCCAGTGAGGACCACTTATAGCGTTGAGACCTATGTGAGGATATTTATCCGAGAGATAGTTCAACTTCATGGAGTTCGGGATATGATTGTATCAGATTGAGTATCAGTTTTCACCTTGCACTTTTGGAGGAGTTTCCAGGATTCATTCGATAGCAGATTATTGTACAGCAGTGTATTCCACCCTCAGATAGATGGTCAGACAGAGAGAGTGAATCAGGTGTTGGAGGACATATTACGGGCTTGTATCATTGACTTTTAAGGCAATTGGGAGGATCATATTCTATTGATAGAGTTTGCTTATAATAATAGTTATCAAGCGACGATTGGTATGGCTCTGTATGAAGCATTGTACGGGAGGCCCTGTAGATCCCCTATATGTTGGGCAGAGATGGAGGATGACTTGTTGCTTGGACCAGAGCTGGTGAGGCAGACTACCAAAAAGGTAGCATTGATTAGGGAGCGTGTTCTAGCCGCTCAGAGTCGGCAGAAGAGCTACGCAGATCATAGACGGCAACCTTTAGAGTTTCAGGTAGGACATTATGTCATGCTAAAGGTATCGTCGATGAAGAGTATGCAGCGATTTGGTAGACAGAGAAAGCTTGACCGAGATATATTGGCCCTTTTAAAATTTATGAGCGTATTGGAGTTGTTTCTTATAGACTAGATCTTCCAGCATCGATGTCTAGTGTGCACGACGTATTTCATGTTTCTATGCTCAAGAAGCACTTGCATGATGAGGAGAGACAGCGAGTATTGGATGCTCCGAAGGTTGAACTTCAGGACGATTTGACTACGATTAAGATTCCAGTTTGTATACTTTCTAGAGAAGACAAGAAACTTAGACATAAGGTGATTCCTTTGGTGAAAGTCCAATGGAACAGGAGAGGATCTGAGGAGATTTCTTCAGAGCACGAGGAGGATATGCGTTGCGACTACCCATACCTATTTGAACAGGTAAATTGTTTGGATTATATTTCCATATGGTTTGTAATGATTTTGGGATAGTTATATTTATTTTTAACACTAGAATGGGAGTATTGTCACTTAGTCCCTAATCATTTGGAATACATGGTATATACATGGGAGGTTCCTTGTTTGGATTTTTCGCTTGACGTACTAATTCCATTAGTTAGGGATTTAAGGTGTGAATATTTGCATTCTAGATTGTTAACTTAGATAGCACTATGTTCATATCTGGAAATTAATGCTATGAGATGTGTATGTGGGAAATTAATTACTCCCGACGTGCTTTTCTCATATTATTAATTTTTGAGACATGATTTCGGAATTTCGAGGATGAAATTCTTTTAAGGGGGGGAAGAATGTAAAACCCTGTAAAATAAAGTGAATGAGTTTTTATTATAAAATATATATGTATATCATAGATAAATATGATAACAAGTGTTTGGGGATCAAACAAGTGTATATATATATGGGTCCCTAGCACAGCTCAGCACGGTGATTCGACAAACCAACGAACCATCGGGCGACATATCCAAACACGATCGTTAGTCCATAATACTAAAGCCAAATGACACGCGACGAAGCGGATCAACGAGGCGACGAGGCTAACGAACCGCACGCAAACAATGGAATACATCCATTCGCATGCGGAATCAAGCTAACAGTTCGGTGAGTCAATGAGTCATCCAACCATAGAACGGATTCGAACTCAAACACCAAAGCGGGTTTACTGCCAAATCAGGATTCAGATCAACAAATCAGAGTCCAAACCAATAGCGAAACCGAAAAACGTCGAAAACCAACATTTGGAGGACTCGGCCAAAACCGAGCCACCAAAAGGTGGCTCGGTGGCCGACGGAGCCACCAAGGTGGCTGGCCACCTGTGCCAAGGCACAGATCTGAGTGCCTATAAATAGGCTAGGGGGCTCATTGTTGAGGGGTTGGAACTTTTGGAGCCGAAACTCTGCCGGATTGAGAACTGAACTTGAACTTTCGGAGCTTTGAAGACTCGACTTCCAGATCTGGTTCT